TCGCCCGTGTGTCAGTGGGAAACCAAACCCTCCAGGCACAGCTTGAATCTTCTGCAGTCTTTGGGAGACACATCCCACTGAGCTTCCAACCTCCTGCCAGGACCTCGTGCCGCTTCTTCCCCGCAAGGAGCTCCTTCCAAGACCAACCATCCATCCCAAGGGTAGACGTTGGCCGGCGCTCCCGGGTTACCAGACTCCCGGGAAGCTGTTCCTCAGGCCCAGAAGCAAAGCAACACCACAGAACTTCTCACTTCTCAAACATTTTTCCCCATGGCAGCTGGCAAATCCTTCCCTTCGCTTCTCATCCAACTTGGACAAAATTACTGCAGAGAATCCCTCCTGCTCCCCTCCCCCCCCCCTCCCTGCTCCTGCAATGCAATCCCAAGGGAGAAGTGGTTTCATGGGGACCCCCTGCTGTCTTGCATCTGATTTCCCTCCTAAGTATGGTATGGGGAAGCGTCTCTAGGGCTATGGCTGTGACCTCCATACAGCTCTTTTGTCAAGTGCCATTTCATTAAAAAATCAGCCTTTTAACTGTGGACACATTTCAACCTCACCAAATCTGCTAATTATTGACAGTTGGTGAAGAGGAGATTTCACTTGTTCCTCCTGTTAAACTGCATCTAATTAGTAATTACTGGTTCACTGTCATCTTTACTGCAATAATCCCACTGCACATTGGCTCATTAACCTTTTGCTTTTCTAAAGCAGCCTGCCAACAAGATGAAGGCTAAAACAGATTGGAAAACAATAGCTCAGCCTTGGATTTTAGGCTGTTTATTCCCCTTGTCCTGGAGATCCAAAAGGAAGATTATTTTTAAGGAAAAGGCTCTCGGCCCAAATCAGATTCCAGAAGATGGGCTGGTTTGCCCTGACCAGCCTCCAACACCCTCCGAACTCTACCCACGGCGAGGGCACCTCAGGACTGCAGGTATTGGAAGGGTTTCTCTGCCATCAGCTCTTGCTCCAGCTCCATTTCTCCCCTGGCTTTATCCTCCTTCAGCACAATCCCACCGGACACGGGGCAAGGCGAGTTTGCAGCCAGTGGGAAGTTCCAACGACGCCCTCGTGGATCCCGCAAATCCTAATGAACGGTCGGGACGAGCGGGGACCAAAGGGTGGGAAAATCAGCGGAGCAAACCCCATGGCTCTTTCTTTTGCTGCTACACTGAATTTCATTTGCACAAGTCCCATTTTCAGTTTGGAACTGTCACAGCTGTTTCCATTGGCAGTGCATAGCTGAGTAGGAGTTGTCAGTGGGGATGCTGTAGGATAAGGCGGTTGGAGAAGAGATTCCCCGGGGGGCATGGGAGGCAGTTGGAGGTTGTGGGCTAAATGCATTAACTACATGTTTCTCCTAAACTTAACAGCAGCGAATTGCTCAATGCATATTTGATGCATTTAGGTACAGGAGTTAACACTGTGTCGGGATGAAGGGAGCGTTTCTCGGCGTATTCCCGAAGATCCACGTCTTGATGGGTTTATTTTTATGAGGTGATCTTCAAACCCACAACGTCCAGAAACAAGCTGTCATTCTGGAGCACCCGCTGCAGAAACCAAAGTGGAATTTCATCTGCACAAAACCAAGGTCTTGCCTACATTAAATATCGACCCAGGAGAAGATCTGGACGCATTAACCTTCCCGGCACGTGAAGGTTGTTCGCCTCCAGAATTTTCATTTGTCTGATGTTGGTGTCTCTGTTTGCAACCAGAGCTGAACTCTGATTTCTCTGAGGTCATCTGAACACAGGAATAACTCCAGAGCAGCTACAGCTGATGTGATAAGGTGGCTGCATTCATCATTTATCTAGCAAAGTTATTAAATCTATTACAAGGCTTCAATTCTGCTTGAAAACTAGCTGTAAGTCTGAGCCCCTTTAGAAGAGTGGATCAAACACAGCCAATCTAAAACAAGCCCTTAATAACAAATCACCTTCTGGTTTTGTTCCCTGACTCAAGGAAAAGGACAATGAATGTGTGATGAAGGGCAGAATTTGGCTCCTTTGCAAGTCCTGAAGGGGTTGGTGCTCAGACCATGATCATATTTTTGGGACAGAACAGGCCTATTCCACCTTGCTGTTAATAATTTGCTCAGTACACCGGCGGCGTCTGGGTCGTGTGGTGTTCACCTGTCGAGGCTGTGGGGACACCAAACACGTGCAGACACCTGCACAGACATCCAGAGATCACTGCTCAAACACTCCAAGTCTACTGAATTCCTCATTTGACAAGCTGGAATCATTGAGGTTGGAAAAGACCTCTAAGACTGAGTCCAGCCGTTGAAGTTCATGGACCAGGGATGAGCACCCAAGAGGTCACACGGTCTGAGAAATGCTCCCTGCAAGGAGACTCGGGTTTCCCATCCCAGACTGCAAAGAAATGGATCTGGAGAGGTTGTTCTGCCTGCTCTGCTCACTTGAGCATCCCCACAGAAACCCCTAAAGAGATTTTAGAGCATGGGAGGAACATCCTTTAAACACACACTTATAACAAATGGAAACATAATGGGAAGACAAGCTGAGAGAGCTGAGGGGGGTCACCTGGAGAAGAGAAGGCTTCATGGAGAACTTAAGAGCCCTTTCCAGTCAGGAGAGCTGGAGAGGGACTTGGGACAAGGGATGGAGGGACAGGACAATATGGAATGGCTTCAAACTGACAGAGAGAAGGGTTAGGTGGGATATTGGGAAGGAATTCCTGGCTGGGAGGGTGGGGAGGCCCTGGCACAGGTTGGGCAGAGAAGCTGTGGCTGCCCCTGGATCCCTGGAAGTGTCCAAGGCCAGATTGGAGCAACCTGGGCTAGTGGAAGGTGTCCCTGCCCATGGCAGGGGGGTGGAATGAGATGGTCTTTAAAATCCCTTCCAAACCAAACCATGATCCCACGATTCTAACACAGATCAGCCCAGGCTGCCTACAGAGAACCCGATTCCTTGGCACCAACAGATGTGAGGTCCAGCTGTGCACATGGAGCTCCCTCCAAAGGAGCAGAGCTGAGCTCCCAGCAGATAATGAGCTCAAGCACCAGCTGTAATGGTTTCTTTTCATTGACATGGAGCGTGGGCAGAGAGCACGTCACCGTGTTTGATCTCCTAATCAGCGCTGATTCATGTTTACACTGCAGATAACATTTCATCTGCTCTCAGAAGGTCATTTTCAAGTGATGCTGAAAGCTTTCAGTGGTGCCTGATGCCTGCAATTTGAATATCCTCTCGAGCAAACCAGACCTTCATTTTCCTCGTGGGCTTGAATTCATTCAGCTCTTAAAATCCACACAGTTTTCCCCTGCTGTAATATCAGACACCACACAGGATGAATTATCTGTCACCCATCAAGCTAAAATTCTAGTGGAAGGTGCCCATGGCGTGGAACTGGGTGGTCTTTAATGTCCTTTCCAACCCAAACCAGTCTGTGATTCTGTGGTTTTGAGGGAATGGTGTCACCTTTGGGGTAAATGAGGTTAGTGTTACCCCCTGTGGTCTTGCTTCCCTGATTATCTTGAAAGGAGACCTCCCAGGAAAAGCCACGGCCACCTGATGGTGGGTGAAACTCCTCTCCCTGGAAATTGCACCAGGGAGGGTTTAGATTGGATATTAGGAAGGAATTCTTCACTGAAAGGGTTGTCCAGCCCTGGCACAGCTGCCCAGGGCAGTGGTGGATCCCCATCCCTGGAGGGGTTTAAAATCCCTGTGGATGTGGCACTTGGGGACATGGGTCAGGGGTGGCCTTGACAGTGCTGGGAATGGTTGGACTGGATGATCTCAGAGGTCTTTTCCAACCTTAAAAACTCTGTGGTTGCATGATTCCATGAAAAGGCAGCATAAGGGATGTTCTATCCCCAAATCTCCTTCCAACAGGAACTTTGGACATGCTCCAGGCACGTACCTTGAGCAGGTGCAAGACCTGGCAAACCTCCTCAGGCTTTCATAACCAAAACCCTCCGAGCAGAACTTGGGATCAGAGCAAAAAGCTGATGGCCAGGGAGCTAAGGTTGAGCTCCTGCCAAAATGACTAACAAACTGTGGATGTATGAATCCGAGGAGAAGCAGGAAAATCACATTGCTCCTGCAACTGGTACTTGTGCAACTTCTTTCTGGAATACTGTGTCTGGTTCTCATGGAAGTGCTCCAAAAAGGATGTTGACTAATTAGAAAAAGTTTAAGGAAGAGCCATATGAATCATTAAAGCTTCAGAAAACACGTCTTTTAGCAAGAGACTCCAAGATTGAGATGTATTCAGCTACTCAGAAGATGAAGGGACAGGTTTATCTCAGCCTGTAGAAGGACAACGGAGAATTTGTAACGTGTTTTTCAGTCAGCAGACAAGTGTACAACAAGACTCCCTGGCTGGAAGTTGTGGATAAACCCATCCAGACTGAAAAATTATGAATTAAGCAACAGAGACACTGATAGAAATTTCTGATCAACTGTTCCAGTCGACACAAAGAGAACTCCAGCAAAGTCCTTCGCTCTGTTTCAGAGAGGTTTTATCACTTTAGAATAATGACCTTCCCTGATAATGTGCAAATTCACAATCTTTAAGCTCCAAACACCAAATGGTCAAAATTAATGGCTTGGAAACAAACACACCTCAGCAATTTGTTCAACTAACTTGGCACAAATGATTTCATTGATCATTCCCTGTTTCCTTGGTTGGTTTTCCTCTGTTCACCCCCCAGGGCTGGGTCTTCCCAGAGTCAGACTAGAAGATGAAAAGGCAGCTCTGGGAAGGTACATCCACATCAAATGGATGGTCCAGGCTCTTGGCTTCATGGACAAAGACTTGTTTTTACTGTGTTGACCCCAAGGAAACACCACTGTGATGGGAGAGGGGCCTTCACCCTCCTGGTGAAGCTTCACTTGAGTGAAGAAAACAGGAACAGACTCGACTAAAAACTGGAGGAGCCTCCCACAGGCATGAGACTGTTTTGGAGGAAGGCACAAGAAGCCCTGGTGTTGGTAACCCCCCCTGAGACCCCCCCCTGCAGTGACCAGACACATACTGACCTCGGACATCTGCGGGAAGAGGCTGATGGCCAAGGGGAGGGCCAGGCCAAAGGCAGCGAGGCACACAAGGCTTTGGACTGGGAGAATCATCCGGGGACGGGACCTCAGCAGGGAAGTTCTGGAAAGGAAAGGCTCTGTTAGACCAGTTCACAGACCAGGTGAGTGCATGGCATCGTCAGAACAGACACTGGTGTCCACCCAGACCCACTGGTCTTGGTTTCTTCACAGAATCATGGAATGGTTTGGGTTGGAAGGACCTTAAATCCCATCCAGTGCCACCCCCTGCCATGGGCAGGGACACCTTCCACTAGAGCAGGTTGCTCCAAGCCCCGTCCAGCCTGTCCTTGAGCACTTCCAGGGATGGGCACCTCTTTCTTAGCAGGTCATGGACAAGTTCACCCTCACACTCTTCCCCCAGTTCAAAACACCTCACACTGGGGTGGGGACCACCCATGGGTGTCACCTGCACTCAGGCCCTGGAGCTCATGGTGAGTGAGCAGAAGGAACCCAGGTCCTTGAGAGATATTGGGAACTTTGTCAGCCCTGCCAGCTGAAAAAGGCACACATGGCTTCGTTAATGGGGTAATAAAGCAGTAAACTCGACAAAAATACCTTAATTTGTTAAAAATCAAACATCTGCAGCCTGGGTGATAAGGATGTTTTAACACTTGCTCTTCCCAGGGGATATTTATGAGTTCAAGATTTGTTAACAGCGAACACTTGAAGATACCTGCAAGGTCAGGTTCTCAAAATGACCGAGAAGTGACCCTCGTGATGCAATTAACACCCAAAAAATGGGACAACGTTTAGCAGGGAGAAGGTGGCATGTTCAATATATTCCAGGATACAGGACCTCAGGCAGTTCATGAATGCTAAGGGGAAAAACATAATTCTTGAGGGGTTTATTCTGGAGCTATTCACCAAAAGGACTCCTGTCATTTGACTTTTTTCCTACCAACCTGAAAAAAAGATGGAAATATAAACTGAAAACTTGACAGTGGGTTTTGTTTGAATATTCAGCGTGTATGAGGAACGTAGAGAGTGAGGAGATTTGCTGATGGGTCATTTAGGACCTGAGGGAAAGGCATGGGGTTGGGTATCAGGAAAAGGTTCTTCCCTCAGAGGGTGGTTGGGCACTGGAACTCCTCAGGGGATTGGTTATGGCACCAAGGCTGCCAGAGCCCAAGGAGTGTTGGGACAATGCTCTGAGGGACAGGGTGGGATTGTTGGGGGTGTCCTCTGCAAGGCTGGGAGCTGGATTTGATCCTTGAGGGTCCCTACCAACTCAGGATATCTCATGATCCTATGATCTAGTTAATCCCTTCCCACTGGGGCACAGGAGCTCTCCTTTGGTCAAGGAAAGCACGACCAGATCACACCGAGCTCTGAACACCTCCGTGGTGACCACTGGGGTTTAACAAGCATTCCCAACCCAACGTGCACCACTCACAGGGTTTCCAGGCACTCCTTCCCACTTCAGGGCACACACCTGATGGGGTTTTGCAGCCCCATCTCCCCGTGCAGCCGCAGGGGGATCAGAGGTTCCCCCCACCCCCCGTCTTCTCCGCGCTCGGCGCCGGCTCCAAACACGCACCTGACGGATTCCGAGGGAGCAGCTGATGTGTGGGAACTCGTTACCCTGCTCCACGTTGTCTGTGTGTCTGAACACTCAGACTCCTCGCCCTTTGCTAGCGCTGCTTGCTGAAAACTGTCTCCCATCTCGAGAAGGTTTGGGGGAAGCGGGGAGGGAAAACACGATCCAGAGCTTTAACTCCTCCGATATCTCAGCTCCTCGCTAATAAGCCATCGAGACGGAGTTGATCCTATCAATTTGTGCTGTGAAAGCCAAGCTTCTGTTCTCCAATATTTCGCTTCTTTTTGTTGCACAGAGCACAATCTTAATCTAAAATTCTCTCATAGAAGCCCAGAAGGATTTTGGCCGAGCGAGGAAAGCAGGAAAACCTTGTTCCACGCTAACAACCACACCATTCAAGACCTGCCATCGATAAGCTGTGATTATCCCTGGGATGCAGAGGGGTAGCTCCTGGAACTGATTTATCCTCCTGCTCAAGCTGTTGTGATCCATGAGAGCCCTCGCTGAGACAATCAGAGGACCAGCATCCCTCGAGCCTCCCCGGAGCACAGTTTAAAACCAAGACATCGCCGCTCACACCACCTCTGACATCTTAATTTGGAAGCCGCACCCTCTGTAATTACTGCCCTGCTGGGCACCTCATAATCACCCAAGTGAAAACCCAACCAATTTAAAATGATCCCCGGTCCAGCCCCCCAGGTGTGACTTCCAGGGGTGCTTCCAGCTCAGGCCAGTTCAAATCACAAGGGCCGACCTCCTAATTAAGAAGAGTTATGGCTTGATGTAAAAAAGGAGAGCGGGCTAATTAACACATGTAGTGCAATGTCTTAATTGGGACTCGGATTCTAAAATTTGTGCGGTTCAGAATAAATGACTCATAATTAGTCAAGAGGTCCACTTTTCTTCTGTCCCCGGGGATCTCTGCTCCCAGTACAGATCTGGGAAGGATATGAAGTTAAATATTGCATTTTGGAGGCTGTCAACTGCAATCCAAACCCCTCTTTTCACCCATTAACCCCCCGCTGGATGGTTCCAAAGCGTTTAATTGCAGAGGATTAGCACAGATTAAAAATAAATAAAACTAATATCTGTTTGTGGAAGGGAGGTTTAGTTTACAGTGCTGTCCTGTGTGCTCTGCCAAAGGGCTGGATCAGGCAGGTGGAGATCTGGACCTTCAGATCCCCCTGACAGCCCAACTTTGGCATCTTCTGAAGCCTAAAGAATCCCAGGGTGAGTAGGGTTGGAAGGGACCACTGGAGGTCATCCAGTCCCACCTCCCTGCTCGAGCAGATTTCCCTGGAGCACAATACTCAGGATTGTGTCCAGATGGCTTTTGAGTATTTCCAGAGATATTAAAACTTGAACTCCTGAACATCTCCAGAGATATTCAAAAAGCAGAAGCAGCAGCCTAATGTATTCACAAGAGCAAATATCCTCTTCCCCTACCAGTAATTCTGCAGAAGAATTGAAGCTGTTTTGGCACAAGAAGAGTGGTTTTAGGGACTGTCACCACACACACAGGTCAGGAGCAACCAGGGTGTGGAGAACTAAACTTTGCTGCTCAGATTAGACAACGTGGGATTGAGAAGTTTGCACCAGGAGAAGGTCCAGGGTTGGAAAGCTGCAGGAAAACAATAGAATCATGGAATGGTTTGGGTTGGAAGGGACCTTAAAGACCATCCAGTCCCACCCCCTGCCATGGGCAGGGACACCTTCCACTAGTCAAGGTTGCTCCAAGCCCTGTCCAATCTGGCCTTGGACACTTCCAGGGATCCAGAGGGAGCCACAGCTTCTCTGGACAACCTCTGCCATGGCCTCTTCCAGTATCCCATCTAACCCTGCCCTCTGCCACTGGGAAACCACTCCCTGTTGTCCTGTCCCTCCATCCCTTGTCCAAAGTCCCTCTCCAGCCTTCTTTAAGCCTCCTTTAGTATGCATATCTTATTGTTCCCAACTAGAAGCCAAATTCTTGGCACCCATGGTTTGTGTCCCTCACAAACAAGTGATCCATGTTTCCACATGGACCTCTGGACAGCAAAGAACTGGCATTTTTGCCACAATTCCCTCCTCCTCTCTCTTTTTCCCTAAAGATCCATTTCTTTGCCCCCTTCAAACCACCCTAATGCCTCTTCTTTCTGCGATCTGCCTTTACAACAAATTTTACCTGGGAGACATTAAAAAGGCAGGAACACACCGGGAATCTACACGGATCCACCTAAAGCAGAGAGACCTCACGGATCCCACTGGAATATTCATGGGTGTCCGTAGGTACAGACACACACACACACACACACACACACACTCACATGCTTGTACAGACAGTACATCTGCTCCGCTGAGACAGTGTGTTGTAGATCTTGTAAATACACCTTCATTCAACTTTCATCACATTGTTCATTAGTGGTTTAAATTTTGCATAATTTGGCAGCTGCCTCTGGCGTTTTTCAGGAGGTACTGTAATTTATTCCATATGGAAGTCAGTCGCTGTACTAAAAAGGAGTTATCGGGTTCAGTGAACCAGAGCTGTATTTGTCTAGGAGGAGGTGTCAGATGCTAAACTAAATATGACAGGAGTCAACCAAAGCCTCCCAGCTGACAGATTCTCTGGGGTTTGGGGAGGGTTTGGTATAAACAGGTTCAAAGCTAATGCAGACATCGCGAGACGCCGGGGACGCCGCGGGGTACGGGAAGAGCTGGAGGCTGGAGCTCAGGGTATCCCAAGGTATCCCAGATTCCTCAGAGCCCAGGGTTCAAAACGGCCCGTCTTTGATGTGCCAACAAAGTTTGGGGTGGTTGTCCTACCTCAAACTACCCCAGTTCTGCTGAGACCCTCCCAGAGCCCATCAGGTCTCTGCACGGGGTGTTCCTGACCTTTCCTCACTCGTTTTGATAGCACCCAGGGAATGGCTGGAGCTGTGCCAGGGCAGGCTCAGGTTGGATCTCAGCAAAAGGTTCTTCCCCCAGAGGGTGGTTGGGCACTGCCCAGGCTCCCCAGGGCAGTGGGCACAGCCCCAAGGCTGCCAGAGCTCCAGGAGGGTTTGGCTGATCCTCTGGGGCACAGGGGGGGACTCTTGGGGCTGGGCCTGTGCAGGGCTGAGGGTTGGACTGGGTGATCCCTGTGTGTCCCTTCCAGCTCAGCACATTCTCTGATTCTGTGATTTTGGGTCATTTGGGGAAATCTGAGCTCTCCCAGTGACCAGTAGCTCTGCTGTCCCACCCAGCCAGGCCACCACTGGCCTCACCACGGAGCATCTCCTGCTCTTGGCTCCAGCCCCGGTGCCCCCTCCAGAGGACACAGCAGATGCAGAGCGAGTGAGGTTGGGGGATTTTTGAGCTTGATTGACATAATTAGAGGAGCAGTTTCAATGTTTACTCTGGAAACAGCCACAGCAGTTTAAGGTGTCACTGCTGGCAGCTGTTGAGTCACAACAAACTTCAGCGAGGGTTTAGCTGGACGGAGAGACTTTGGAGGAAAAGCACCTTTGGGAAACATCCTGCACACGCTGTCAAAAGGAGGATATCTCCAGGGAAAAGTCAAGAAAATGAAGGCCAAGAGGGCCTCCTGCCTCATGCACGTTTCTGAAGTGAAAAACACAGTTTAAGCTGAAGAAAATGCCCTTCCAGCAACACAAAACTGTGGGCTGAGCACTGGTTGTCCCCCAAGAAAATCTATTTTTTGTGGTTAGGCTGACTTAGCTAAGCCAGAGCAGCTCTGGAATGTTGATCCAGCCTGAGAGCATCCTAATTTTCTGAGCCTTACAGGAAAACAACCCTGGCAGCTGCCGCCTGAGGATGCTCTGGCAGCTCTGCCACAAGATCAGGATGATCTGGAGATGAAGAAAAGAGTAGAAATGCTCCTCTTTTGTGGGCACAACTGTTCTGCTCCCTGTTTCTCTCTCAGCTCCTGCCCATTGCCAACAATTCCAGCTTTGTCTCTCTTCCACCAACACTGCACAGACAGTTCCAGGGCCTCCTCTAGTCCAGCCTAACATACCCGAGCTCTTGGACCTTCTGCTGCTCTTCAGACCTTCCAAGAAGGTCTTCTTAACTGGCCACTTAAAATAAACTTTTTGAATGCTGAAGGGAAAAGGAGGGAGGGAGTTTTCCAGGAATCTGAAAACCCCTGCTGGGAGCACAGAGAAGGTTCCTGGAGGGGTGAGAATCCCCCCACCAGGTCACCCTGTGAGGTAGAGAAGAGGCTTTAGGATAAGGAGGTAAGAAGAGCTCATGTCCTTCAATCTCCACTCAAAGATCACTCAAAGTGGCCACAGCAGATGTTGATGACGGACTGAGCTTCTCCACCAGCCAAAAATTCGGGCTCTCCCACCTCAGAACTCGGCCTACAGGTGCACCTGAGGCTGCAGTCCCACAGACCTGGAGTGTCTGTGCACAGACCAGCTGCAGGATGGGCTTTAAGTCTGGAAGGAGCGGGAAGCTGGACAAAGACTACCGGAAAAGTCTGGGATGACGGCCGGGAGAAAACCGCTCCACTTCCCGAATTTCGTCGTGACAACCAGACAAAAGGATTCACGGGACACAGGGATGAGAAGTCCGACTTCATGCAGCTGTCCCCACATCCCTGTGACACGGGGGCACTAATGAATTCCCACTGTCAGCCCCATCCCAAAGACGAGTCGCCTCCACCTCGCCGGTGCCGCGGAGCCGCTGTTTTTCCCCATTAAGAGCTGCCAACGGGGATATTATTTATAAAACTTCAATGAGAATACATCTGCACAAAATAACTGACACCGTGTTCCCTGCATGGCATATGCAGGCTCAAAATAAACATTGATTCTATATGTTAACTGCTTCCACAGAGCGTCCAAGCAGCAGGAAATGCATGAAACATGGGGGGAAGAATGGAGCGCTGTGGAGCTCGGCAGTGGGAGGTAACATTGAATTCCTTGGAGAGCAGAGAAGGCGGCCCTGGGAGTTAAAATACACAGCAGGCAAAGAGATGAGAGGAGCCAAGAGAGCTGAAAAAAATGGCACAAGAGACGAGAGAGGCAGCTGGGGGAGTTAAAACATGCAGATGGAGAGATGGCTGAGAGAGAGGAAAGACCTGGATCCAAGTGGAAAGACGGCGACCAGGAACTGGCCACTTAAAATAAACTTTTTGAATGCCGAGGGGAAAAGGAGGGAGGGAGTTTTCCAGGAATCTGAAAACCCCTGCTGGGAGCACAAAGAAGGTTCCTGGAGGGGTGAGACTCCCCCCCAGCAGGTCACCCATGTCCAGCCAGGCTCCAAGGCAAGGCGGGAGAATCGCTCCCATCCTTCCCCACAATCCCAAATGCAAATGGCTTGGGAGGATCCAGATTGAGACTTCTGATTCCAGCTCTCCAGCCTCCAAATAATGAGCCATCACACTCTCCTTTCTCCTTTATAGACACTGTAAGGATTCCTATAAACACATGGATAATGCAGGCCTGGATGTCATTCCCATGGAAAACGCCCTGGTCGAACTCAAATCCCACTCAATTCAAAAAGTTAAACTTTTCCTCAAATGCTCCAAGTCGTTTTTGTTCCCAAAATGAGGTTTTACCTCTGACTGTGTCCTTAAAGATCTGTGAGGCAACACCTGCACTGTGAATCCCTCAGGGGTGGACAGGGATGTTCTCCACGTCCCAAAGGTGCTGCCATGTCTTCCAGGGACACCACCACCTCCACCAGCATGTCCAAACCACACCCCACTCCCTATCCCTGCTGTTTCTCACTCTCAGCCTTCCAGGAATCCAAAGATATTTGATGGAAAATCAAACAGGAGGCACGAAGCTCTGGGGAGAATTCAGGCAGGCAAAAGCAGTGCCCAGATATTTTTATATCCACCGAGCTGCATTGGGAAGGAAAATATTCTCTCCCAAACCCGAATTAAGTCTTTCTATTAGTTAAAATGAGGATTTTTTTGGAGGAGAACCTCCTGCGTGTCCACAGATAAAAACCAGTTTTGATAAGGTTTGCCCAGAGCATGGGTGCATTTAGTAAAACTCTTGTACCAATACAGGAATTTAGGAGACCCCCGAGTACAAAAAAATGTCATTATTAGTTTTATTTTGCTCCCAAGCACAAAGCAAATTTTCCTCTCGGTTTTTATTTTGTGCCAGGTGAAATTTTACTCTCAGTTTTACTTAACCTTGTGGATGCTTAGGAAGACCCAGGATGGTCCCTCAGTGTTCCCTCTCAGAGACAATGATTTAACAACTCAGGGACCAGTTTTCTACAGTATTTTTGCATATAAAGGGTTTTGTCTGTTGATAACCAGAATAGCAAAGATCCTCTGAAGCCATAAAATGGTTTGTCCTTCATGTGGCTCTTTTTTGGGTGGTTAGATGGGAACCTCAGTTCTTATGACTTTGAGTAAGCCCTGAGTAAGGTACTCCAGAGGAACCTCCTCCAGGAGAAGGAATGGTCACTCCTGAGCACCTTCCCAGCAGATCCTGCTGCTGGATCATGGCCTGGGGGACCCTGTGGGTGACAAAGGGCCTCGGGGCAGGAAAGAGATTTTGCCAAGGAGGAGAATGAATTGAAAATCCGATGTTTTGCACAAAATCAGGAGGGGCTGGAATCTACTCCTCATCCCTGTGTGTCTCCAGAAAACGTCTCCCAACTCTGGTTTGCAGAAAATGTTGCCAAGACTGTGCCCTGATGAAGGGAATCACCACAGTTCTTTTAAAAAGGAGAGGAAAACAGCATATTTTGGGCAAAAAGAGCCGAAAAACCTGAATTTACAGTTCCCAAAACAGGGTTTGTTGCCTTGTTTCTCCTCACCCGCAGGCCAGGGGAGAAATTAATACTGGTGAGAAGCTCTGGGTGCTGGAGGGGTACCAGCCTGTATCTATATTTTTAAATTTACATGTTCCAAAATCAGCCTCCGAATTTACAGAAGGAGCCCCGACCCTTCTGCTAAGGAGAGAAAACCGCCCGAGGGTGATTCCACGAGGATAAACAAAGCTCACCGAAGGTCTGGGTCACTCCCTAATCGTACTAATTGTTATTTACTCTGTCACCCGAGCCACTAACAACAGATTTGTTTAAGGAGAGCCTCCAGTTGGGACAAAGGCAGCAAGTCCTTTAGCATCCCCATCTTTCAGTGGGATAATCGGTCTCCAGAGGCCGGGAAGGGGATCCCCATCCCACCCCACGGATCGTTCACACCTAATGAGCCGCTGATGGGTGTCCGCGGGAGCCACAAGCACCCAGCGGCTCCAAACAGGCTCACAGAATCCCTGGGATGAAGGAAATGTTGGAAAGCATGGTGGGAGAAAGGCTGATGGACAGGGAAATTTGGGTTTTTAGCTATTAAAACCTCTGCTGTGAGACAACTGAGCAACCTGGGATAGTGGAAGGTGTCCCTGTTGGAACTGGGTGGTCTTTAAGGTCCCTTCCAACCCAAACCATTCCATGATTCCGTGATAACTGGGCGTGAAATAATAACCCTGCCCTCTCCTTCCCCCTGTCCAGGCACTGCTGCTCCACAGACACATCTGCCAGGAGAGATAACGGCTTAAATAGTGATGGAAAACAAATTTCTGCTGAGTATATGAAACATTTATTCTTCTTTGAGGAACAGCTGAGGCCACTTGGGTTGCTCAGCTGCAGAAGAGGAGACTGAGGGGACATTCATTGGGGTCTGCAGCTTCTCCAGAGGGGTAGAGGAGGGGCAACCTCTGCTCTGTGTGAGCAGGGACAGGATTCAGGGAATGGCTGGAGCTGTGCCAGGGCAGGTTTAGGTTGGATCTCAGGAAAAGGTTCTTCCCCCAGAGGGTGGTTGGGCACTGCCCAGGCTCCCCAGGGCCGTGGGCACAGCCCCAAGGCTGCCAGAGCTCCAGCAGGGTTTGGCTGATCCTCTGAAGGACAGGGTATGATTTAAAATAATCACGTCAATGTAACACTTTAACAGCTTTGACAGTGGTTCAAACTGATGGAATAATAAAATCTTAATAAGAAAAAAAAGTCTTGGGTGGACTTTGAAGAGAGACCTTGTCCCTTGTCACCCTTTACAACTCCCTGACAGGAGGGTGGAGCAGGAGGGGGTCGGGCTCTGCTCCCAGGGAACAAGGGACAGGAGGAGAGGGAACAGCCTCAAGCTGTGCCAGGGGATGTTTAGGTCAGATACTGGGAAAATTCCTTCCTGGAAAGGGCTGCCCAGCCCTGGCACAGCTGCCCAGGGCAGGGGTGGAGTCCCCATCCCTGGAGGGATTTAAAATCCCTGTGGATGTGGCACTCGGGGACAGGGGTGGCCTTGGCAGTGCTGGGGGATGGTTGGAGGGGGCTTTTCCAACCCAAACAGTTCTGTGATTCTATAAAACACCAGTGAATGACACCCACTGAGGATCTTTTACCCCTTCCCCTTGCAAATCCCTCCTTCACCCCCAACACTTACTTTTCCAGTACGGACATGATAATTGGAGGTAGAACCAGTATAGGCATGGGCAGGACCACTCTGGTCAGGGCTGTTTCCAGCAGTGCCTGCGAAGGGAAAACAAACAAACAGATCCATGACACTTGAAACAAACCCCAGGATGTACCTGCTGGGCTCAGAAATGCCCTGGCCGGTCTTTCTTGCGTTGCTCCTGCGACTGAAAGCACCAACACAAACTTTCAGCTTTGCCAGCAGCTGTTTGTGCACATCCCATTTGCCCTCCACGCTCGGTCACAGACCCAGCAGAATAAAGACAGGCACCCAAGAGCTTCCCTGATTTCATTTCAGGTGTTCAAACATCCCATCACGTTCCTACACAAACATGTTGGTGCTTCCTGGAGGGAGAAAGGCGGGCAGAGCAGCTGCCTGGGAGATGTGGTGAGGTGAAATATCTCACTGTGGGCCAGGCAGCAGCTTCAAAAATTCCTCCCTCAACTGAGTTTTGATTTCAGTTCCACGCTGGGGGAATGAGAACCTTAGTGCCTGCTCCAAGACTTGCTCCTGGTTTTTAATCACTGGTGGTTTATTGTGAAGTATTGTAACATACAGGGGGTTCTCCTCTCCCAAGAAAGCACCCAACCAGTTGTCCCTCCACTGGGAGGGACAAAGCAGCTTAAGATATATAAAATACCCTGAGACCTAGAGAAGATCTTTCAGAGGAACAGATAATTGCCCTCCAGCCCTTTCCAGTGCCTAAAGAGGCTCCAAGAGAGCTGGAGAGGGACTGGGGACAAGGCATGGAGGGACAGGACACAGGGAATGGCTTCCCAGTGCCAGAGGACAGGGTTAGATGGGATACTGGGAAGGAATTGTTGGCTGTGAGGGTGGGGAGGCCCTGTCCCAGGTTGGGCAGAGAAGCTGTGGCTGCCCCTGGATCCCTGGAAGCATCCAAGGCCAGGTTGGAGCAACCTGGGCTAGTGGAAGGTGTCCCTGCCCATGGTAGGGGGTGGGACTGAAGGTCCTTAAGGTCCCTTCCAACCCAAACCATTCCATAATTCCATGTCACAGGAACATCCACATGAGCTCCTCGGGACCCTCCACTCACAACAACCCCTCAGAGAGACGCAAGGTGTTCCACGAAGGATCTGCCAAATCCCACATGACAAACCCCAGTACTAAGCTGTTCAGGAAGAAGCCTTAGGATTCCATGGCAGCTGAGCAGGAGTTCTCAGAACTCCCAAATTTCAAGTTTAAACCCCACCTACATTGCCCTTACAGCACCTTCCCTTTTAATATTTATTTCCCCTGTTGTCTGCCTTCCCCTCAACCATCAGGATGGAGAGGGGAACTCAGGTCCCGAAGCCAGTTGATATAAGTGAGGAAAACTGGCTCAAATAAGTATCCCTGAGCCCTTCAACAGATTGTTTTAATCTCCCTGTTAAACAACAATATGGAGAGATATTAGAGAGCTCCCATTTCTCGCCGAGGACTGCAAATCTGTACATTAATTGCTGTCTATGAAGTGCCTTAAGAGCCTTGGACAGAAGGAGGGAGAGAAATGCCAAGCATTATATTATTAACTCCTCTGCCTGGGCGTGTGCTTGGGTACATGCTTTACATTTCAGATTAAAGCCCACTTGGAAACAATCAGATGATGCTCAGGAGACAAAACTCGGCAGGAAAGGGATGAAAAGGGAAAAAATTCCAGGCAGATGGCCGGGGGTAGGTCACAGGGAAAACAACCCAGGTGTTGGGAGGAGGGGTAAAAACATCTGGCTGCCCTCCCAAAGCTCTGCTTGGCAACTTTTAGGGCAGTTCTGACGTGGAAAGGGTTAAAAAGCAGCTCAGCTGGGATAGGGAGTCATCTTCATTTGGGAAAAGGTGTAAGTTATCTTTGCTTTGTATCCAACAGGACGAAAAGTTCCCACAAAGAGTTCCTGTGAAAGCATCAGGGTAGTAGAGGATTTTCCCATGTCAGTCTGTGCCCCCCCAAAGCACCAAGGTCAGTCCCCAAATTCACCAGCACGACACGAGCCCGTGTCCACCAGAACATTCCAAATGGTGGGCAAAGCTCATCTGTTTTCCAGCCACGGATTCCTACACCTGTGGAGTTTGTGGAGCCTGAAATCCAGCAGAGTCCCAGCCCACCAGGAACACCCCAGGCACGTACGTGTTTGGCAGCAATTCTGGAAGACCCGACGATGTTCCCGTTGTTGTCCAGCACGTCAATTCCTTCTTCCAGCTCCGTGTGCCTCATCAGGACAACGTTGCAGATATTGGCACTGGCTGAGGATGGGAAAAGCAGGATGATTAGCCCTGGTCAACACCCAATGGCAGCTCCTTCAGCTTTCCTTCTTTTCCTTCCACCAATCTGCCCAGGAGTTTCTGCGAGTTGTTCTTGTCCCAAGAAAAAATTGGGATTCTTTGGAGGAGAATAATAACCAAGATCATTTTCTTTACTTGCAAAACAATCAGAAATGTGTTGATCCAAGGAAATACCAGCATTTCCAGGTGTTGCTGTTCACACATCCTCCCACCCTCTCCCCGGTGATCCTTCACCAGATATTTCCTCCCACTAAGTCAAAACAGGGCCTTGAACTGGGTGGCCAGTTGGGCTTGGCCAACCAGGAACTGCTGAGGGACAGCTGCCTCTTCTGATGGGACATCCCAGAGTGGGACTGTGCCCTTCCCAAACCAGCACTCTTCTTAAATAAAGGATTTTCATAGAACCATGGGATGGTTTGGGTTGGAAGGGATCTTTCAAGGCCATCTAGTCCATTCCCCTGCCATGGGCAGGGACACCTTCCACTAGCCCAGGTTGCTCCAAGCCCTGTCCAACCTGGCCTTGGACACTTCCAGGGATGAGGCAGCCACAGCTGCTCTGGGAAAATAAGGAAAAATAGTCAGGAGGACTAGTGGAAAATCTAGTGGAAGGTGTCTCTGCCCATGGCAGGGGGTTGGAACTAGATGGTCTTTAAGGTCCCTCCCAACCCAAACCATCCCATGATTCTGTGATTTCACAGATTTTGGGGTGGAAATGGCTCCATGGGCTTATTTTCTGGAGTTACAGACCCGTTTCTTTGCTTTATGAATATTTTTCTGAGCGATGACGGCTCTTTATCCCACCTGACACTTCCCAGCCTCAGCCCTGCACTCACAGCACAGCTGGAAGCAGGTCCAGGACCCTTTCTGACCCCCTCCCTTGCCCAGCCTGTGGCTTTTGCAGCCTTGAGATGACCCCAAATCCTGCTCCTCAAGTGATGTATTAAGATTTGGGGCTGAGAAACACCCTTGCAGGTGCAGCCTCTCTCCGGGGCTCAGCCGCTCCTTAAATTCTTCCCCGGAAAAGCTGCTAATTCCTCCAAAACTTTAGGCTTTGATAAACTGGCATTTTCCAGCACCTCCCCACCACCACATTTCGCCTCAAACTTTCCGACCAGAACTAATCCAAACCCGCTGTTGCTGCAAGTACCACCGCTTTCCAAAAATGTGCTTCTGTGCTGCTTGATGGGTTAATATTCGCTAATTAATCTCAACTCATGTCATATAACAAATGTCTAATTTTTTGAGGGTGGTGGGTGGGTGAGCCCTATATGAACACAGCTCTCTGCAATCAAGGATGATTTGTGGTGACAAATGCTCCTTACACTCGAGAAGGAGAGGAACATACACACACGCACACTCTGTCTCTCCCTTCAATATTCCAACTACGGGACCGCTCTCCCCATCTATCAAAAGATCTGTGTTACCAACCCTTCAGCTCCTTAAAATCCCAGATAAAAAAGCAAACAGGCAGTTCATTTAAAGAAAGTTTAGCCCCCCCTCCCCCCCACCTTGTTTGTTGGTTTTTTTTTTTTCTTTTTTAACACTCACATGCCCCCTTCTTCTACTTGTCAATCAAAACCGAGCGGATAAAAAAAACACGTCAGAGGAGATGCTCTGGCCAAGGATGCACCAGCACAAGGTTCCTGTGAGACTCAGGATGGGGTGGCCAGACCTGAAGCTCCCAAAATGCTTCTCTGGATTCACTGACCTGGTGGTCCCAAATTCAAAACCTGATTCCAGCCCGTTTGTCTGAGACAGGCAACTCGCTGACCTGCTCCCGCTCTGCTTTCTCAGAAAGCAGAAAATGCTGCTAATGATGGCTAAATTTGGATTTTATAGATGTCTCAAATGCAGGGGGGGATGAGAAATAAAGAAATTTCTGTGCAAAAAAATTGATTTTTCAGAATTTGGGAAGGAATTGTGGTGATAAAGCCTGGAAACCACTGCTGTGAAAACACTCTGCAATGTACTGGAAATGGGGTTCAGACACCAAAACAAGCCACTTTTATATGTTTACATATATATTTTCTATACCAAGGTGCTCTCCACACATTAAACACATCCTTGTGTGCCACCTAAACACATGTAACAATTTTAACCACACACACACACTAAAACAAAAGCTCAGGGAGACAAAATCCTTCATCCCTTTCCCATCCCTGTAATAAATATCTTTCTACAGCTTTAACATCCTTCAGAGTAGGTTTTGGGATGCAACTTTTGGGATTTTCTGTGGGATTTTTAGCCAAGAACACCTCCAGTGACGCCCCTTACCTCGGTGGCAGCTCTTCACACCCAGTTCTTGGGAAGAAGAGGGGAAATTGGGTTCCTTGCAATAACCCTGGGCATTGATATCCTTCCCCACCTCATCCCTGAGAAAGGACCAAGCCCCTCCTTGCTCAAATTCAGCTGTGCAGAACACAGCTCCAACATACTCCTTCCCTTTTCCTTTTCTTTCCATGGAGAACACCTTCACCAGATGATGCTCCAGGGTGGCCAACATCAACCCCAAAAACCCCTTTTACACCAGGGCAGCCACTGGCTCTGCAAAACCTTGGCCATCTCCACGAGCTGCTCCACCTGGATTGGTTTCCTGGATCCATCCCCTGGGACTGGGGAGGGTTTTTTTTAGGAAAAAACATGTGATTTTCGGCTACTACAAACTAACTTTGGAGGAGGGTGAGGGCATGGCCCACCCTCCTGGCACCACTTTATGTCCTACAGGTAGAACTTCTGCACATATGGGTTATTTTATGGTGCAAAGATAACTGTTCCACCACCCAGAGAAGACACACACACCATGCAGGGTGTCTCTGAGGGCACCAAGACCCCCAGATCAGCTTTCCCAGTGCCTGCCCAAAGCTTTTTGGAGCCTTTATGAACACCTCTGCTGGGAATCTTGTTCCCTTCCACCCAGACAGCAGCTGCCCTTCCCCAAGGCTCCATCTCCTGGGATAACTCGGGATGAGAGACCAGAAAGTTTTGGGGCATCCCTCCAGTTTTCCAGCTGTTATCAACCACAGCTAGAGATCAATGGGAGAGGGAAGCAAGGAAAAACTGCTTAGTGGGAGTGGTTTCATAGAATCCCGGGATCATTAAGTTTGGAAAAGACCTCTGAGATCATCAAGTCCAACCATTCCCCCAGGTCCACCACTAACCCATGTCCCTGAGTGCCACATCCTCACGTTTTTTTTTTTTTGGGAGCAAGAGCTGTCTTTTCACGTAGAAAAAGAGAAATTCTGCCTTTTTTTGCTGGGGGCTGGTGGTTCAAAAGTAATTGGAAGACGAGCCTTAATTAAACAGTTTGTCCAGGTCTGGAAACCAATAACTCACAGCTTTCTGAACCACCAAACAGCAATTAGTGGGAGGACTCCTGATGTCCTGGCACATAACGAAGCATGACGGTACACAAATAAAATAGGAGCTGGAGAATTAATTGCAGGCTAAACAAATTAATTATGGGTCCTCAATCAATGCCAACACAAACGTAACCTCTTCCTCCTCACACCTTGGGATGAAAATAGATCAACCCGGCAGCAAAGATTCCCTGTGTGTGTGTCTTTGACTCAAACCCCGCCTTGGAGCTGCCTCCCGGGGCTTGGACTCACCCCAAGTGCCCTCCTGGTTATAAAAACCCAGGGAAAACTGAAACCCTCTAAAATATATTCCAGGAAAATCATAATAATAATGTCAACAGATCCTCTGTGTACAAGGAAAGGGCTCGGGAATAAGATGGAGTGTGACACCCAGACCACAATCCCCATCACCCCTTGCTCTGCAGACAGAGCAAGCAGCTGTTTTTCTGGAAGAAAAGGGGGGAAAGAAACCCCAGTTACTCAGGAACTGAAGTCTGGAGGGTCAGGGTAAGCATGTCAATATTAAAAAAGGAGCAGCAGGACCAGAAAGTAACAGTTAAAGGGGCTCAGGTAAAGGGGTTGAGCATCCTCAAGTGAAGCTCCGAGGACTTGGCACTTGCACAGCAAAGGGAAAAGCTTCTAGGAAAGTTCTGCATTAAATGGCTGAAAAGGGACCTGGAACAGAGAGCAAAACCCCCTTTTGTTTAATAATTTCCCCCATTCTTGGGCAATTTTTGCACCATCTTTATAAATAAAAGTTTCCCTAAAGCCACTGGTGATTTTTCATGGCTAAAATAACTCATCATTTGCTCAAGGTTGTTACCAGAGGCTCCAGCAAAAGCTGAGTCCAGTCTGTCCCTTCCCTCACTCAGCAAACAGTCAACAAAATGCTGCTAATATGCTCCAAAAAGCCTTAATTCTTCACACACTTCAGTCTGTTTTTAATCAGTGGCTCTCACAAATCTGTATATTCAGAGTAGAACCATTTAATTGCATTTTATTGTAAAACAACCACAGTGCCACCGCTTATTTGAGGATCTGACTTGACGTGATTCAAACCAGATCTCGCAAATTAAATGCCCTCAGATTTGAATGGACAAGGACCAGCCAACACTGGTCATTTTTTAAGCTGCTTGAGAGTGGAAAGTGCAGCTGAAAAGCCTCATGAGCTGCCCCCACCGGCAGCTTGGCACCATTTTCCTGCCAGAATACTGTTTTGCACCATCCCACCACTGTCTGCACCAACTCAGGGACCCACCACTGAGGGGCCACGAGCAGGAAGGCAGGAATTAGGTGTCCATCCCAGTGGCTTTTGGCCACCAGCAGGTTTACAGCCAACACTTTGAACATAAAGGAAAGGTGTTATTTCTTACCGACAGCAGGGAACGGCACAAACCTCTGGATCAGGAGACGAGTGGCCGGGGTAAACTTGTTTGCTCTCTGAATCAGAACATTAAGGCCCACCTTGGAATGGAAAAAAAAAAACAAACCAGAGATGCAGAGGCAGTTGATTACAAGGAGCAGGGTAGATGTCACAGCTTGCAGACACTTTGGGGTCTCACCCCACACAGAAGCGTTTGAGAACCAAACCCCACACACGCTGCGGGGTTTCGCTGTGTTGGGTTCAACCCCTTATCCAACAAAGGGTTAAATCCAACTGTTGAGCTTCAATGAAGGGTTGATGCCAACTGTTTGGTTTACAGAGAGGGTTGAACCCAACTGCTGGGCTTAAATGAAGGGTTGAACCCAAGTGTTGGGTTTATATGTACTGCTGAACTCAACTGTTGGATTGAATCCTACCACTGGGTTTAAATTAGGGATTGGACCCAACCATTGGGTTTAAATTAAGGATTGAACCCAACTATTTGGTTTATATGAAGGGTTGAACCCAACCGTTGAGTTTTTAGGAAATTTTGGACACAACCATTGGGTTGAACCCAACCATTGGGTTGAACCCAACCATTGGGTTTAAATGAAGGATTGAACCCAAGTGCTGGGCTTAAAGGAAGAGTTGAACCCAAGTGTTGGGTTTAAATGAAAAGCTGAACCCAGCTGTTGGACTGGACCCAACCACTGGGTTTAAATTAAGAATTGAACTCAACTGCTGGGTTTAAATTAAGGATTGGACCCAACTATTGGGTTTAAATTAAGGATTGAACTAAACTGCTGGGTTTAAATTAAGGATTGGACCCAACCATTGGGATTAAACCCTTTCCAACTAAAAGACAAGCGAGAAACCACTGAACACCTTTGAGTCCTTCTGGAAATCCCTCAGCTCCATTTTTACCCAGTTCACCAGCATTTTCCACATCCAGCACGAAATCCTTGATGCTGGGAACCCTCACTTGGCTGGGGAAACCCCAAATATCAGTGGTGGTGGTGGCCCAACTCAATTAATTCCTTCTCCAGGGTCTGTGCAAACTACACCACCCCACTCCAATAAAAACCTTTGGGCTATAAAGTTTATTATAACCACGGATCAGTTTTTGTTGCCTCCTCCAACCCTTGATTAATGCTCTCCATAGTTTTTCATGGACCTATGTAATTCAGATGTTACTATAAGCAGCAAAGAGGAGCGTTGCTGCCTCATAAGCCTCAGGTTGATAATAGTGATAGTTTGGAAAACCTCCATCAAAATTGGTTTCAAGCAGAAACGGGGTTAAAAATTAAACAAACTTGTTCATGGGGAATGACTTCTCTCTTCAAATTACTTCAAATTACTCTCCCTCACAATATCTGCTCTTTTTCCTCCCCAAAAACACCCCGAACCCCAAATGCACGAACAAAACCCAACAGCCCCAAGATGGGAATTTTGGGCTGGAAATGTGAGTCTTCAGCAACGTGTGGCCAAAGAGTTTTCAGCCAAAAACGCAGCAAAATTTAAAAAAAAGAAAAAAAAAAATCAGCCAAAGCCAAAAAGCTGCCAGAAAATAGTGATTTGGGGGGTTTTAAGACGAAAAGCAAAGCAGGGGAGAACATATTTTGTGAGCTGCTACATTATACATGAATCCGCAGCGCATCCCGACTTTTCGGAGGCTGAGAGGAAGATGTTGAGAAGAACAACTGCTGGGTAAGCCCTGCATAAGCAAAGTGCTGGTTTTCAAACCCTGTGAAGTATTTCCAGAGCCTTTCTCCAAGGCTTTCACCATGACCCCAAGCAGGAGTCCTTCCTCCTGTCCTTGGCCAACACGACTCTAATGGTGGTGCTTGTTAGTCTGGGCAACAAGGAGGGGTTTGTCTTGATCTTCTCCCCCCTTCAAAAATGACTGAATTCATTTTTTCCTACATTTTTCCAAGTGTCGGGATGTGCATTTTCAAAATCTCAATGCTTCCAGAAACTGTAAAGCAGCCCAAGACGTGTGGCTTGAAGAATAAGACGCTTTTAAGCCTGGCTTTGCTGCTCTTGCCCCGTGGATTTGGGCATTTACAGCCTGGATATGGTTAATCTGCCTCAGTGATGAATTTTGTTGGGTTTGCAGCCTCTGCTTGAAGGTTTGATGGAGGGATTTGACCATGAAGTGGAAGAGCAGAAGCTTTTGAAAGAGCAAAGATGAGTCTGGGAGAGGCACCACTGTGAGGCCACCGCTAACAAAAGCATTTTACTTTTAGATTCAACGTGATGAAGTCGCTTCCCCACTTACAGTCACCACCCTGCTGGGAACATGACATTAAATGTTGCTATAGATTTAAATCCAATCTCCCAAATTCCCAACACAAGGACTGGATAGAGGGAATTAATGAGGGTTTTGTTTTCTGCAGTTTGGAAATTGCTTTAGCCAATCTGTGAGGTTGGCTCTTTTCTGTGGGTCAGGAAGTGTGGGATGAGGGCAAACAGGTCACAGAGAGCATCTGACAATGAGCAAGAACTCCTCAACCTCAGCTTCCTCTAAGGAAAAGGGCCATTAGCAAGGAGAGGTTAATGAGTTTATTCACATGGGGCTGCCAAAGAACACTGTTGAGGCAAATTCATCACTGAAAATCAACTGCAGGATTATTATTGTGATCCTCACCCTTCCTACAGCCTGTCCCTGATCTGGGATCTACAGCACTGGTGTAGATCTGGGATCTCCAGCACATGGATCACAGAGTCCACTGGGACTCATCCCACCAAATGTGGCAGAATCACAGAATCATTCGGGTTGGAAAAGACCTCTGAGATCATCCAGTCCAACCATTCCCCAGCGCTGCCGAGGCCACCACTGACCCATGTCCCCAAGTGCCACATCCACAGGGCTTTTAAATCCCTTCAGGAATGGTGACTCCAACACTGTCCTGGGCAGCCAGTGCTTGACAACCCTTTTGGTGAAGGAATTCTTCCTAATATCCAATCTCAGCCTCTCCTGGTGCAACTTAAGGCTGCTTCCTCTTATCCTATGGGCTCCCTTTGCAGCTCAGCACAGAGAAATGAGCTTTTTGAAGGGTTTTCATTCTTCTCCCACTGGTTTCAGTGCAGTACTGGATTGGGATATTCATAGAATCATGGAATGGTTTGGATTGGAAGGGACCTTAAAGATCATCCAGATCCACCTCCTGCCATGGAACAACTTCCACAAGCCCAGGTTGCTCCAAGCCCCATCCAGCCTGGTCTTGGACACTTCCAGGGATGGGGAGTCATCCACATATTCCTACGCTGTGACCTGGATTAGAGGACAAATCCAGCTTTTTCAAATTGCCTGGTTTGTTGAGGTTTTTTCCTCCAGAGCACTTCCTTGATCTGGCTGATGGAGCATCCCAAAAATCCAGGGGAAGCTGGACACAGGGATACATTACACAACAGTTCCTAAAATCCCGCAACACGAAACCAGGACCAAACACCGTCGACGGGAGAGAAACCTTACTCAGGGCTCTGTTGTGCCTCTGGGCACCACTCTGCCTTTCCTTCATCCCTCTTCCTCAAGAATTCCTGCTATTTATTTTGTCACCAGGGTTTGTTTTCAGCATCAACAACATTATCTCAGCAGAAGGACAATGTTTGTGATGTCGCCCCACCTTGAAACTGGTACCACCAAATACCATCACACAGACCAACACTTCTGCTTCCTTTTCTTTTCCTGCTTCTCTCAAAAACTTCCCACCTCACGTCCACCACGACACAAGTTTTAAATCAGGAATTTTATAAAAAAAATCCCTGATTCCCCCCCCCCTCCTTTAATTAAGATTTTTGAAGCCCGAGAGATGGGGCTTTTGAATGCCTGAAGTTGGCAAGGACCAAACCATTTGCTAAAGGTCTAACCCTGAACCTCTTAAACCAGTTCTAGTGCAGTAAATACATTCAAAAAACCCAGGAAGTTATTTCACTTCATTTTGAGAGGGAATTTTTATAAAATATAGGAATATTAAGAGTTCAGGGAGCAAGGTGGACATTGGTTGGCAGGTGACACCACCGAAGTGTCACTGAGCAGCTCTCCACACTTTGTTAACTCTGCTGGGGAAACCACCACTGATTTTAGGGATTCAGCTTTGGGACAACCCTGACCACTGCAGTTGGAGCCAGCTGCTCCAAGTGACCTGGGAAGTCCACTTGGAAGGAGGGATTGGCTCCAAAGAAGCTTTTCCTTCATCCCTCCAATCACCAGATTGCTGGATTCGAACACTAATTGCATCTGATGAGTCCCAAACAGCCAAGCTGAAGAAAAGAGCATTAGGAGAAGGAAGGAAAAAACTCATTCATTAGGGCTGGGAGGTGAAGAGGCTGGGAGAGATGGAAAACTGGGCTGTTTCCCAACTGGAGCTTTACCAAGGCAAGGAGAACAGAATGGAGGAGTCTAAGGGAAGGGAAAAGCAATAAGGATCCGTGTGGAGAAGGAAGTTAGAGAGGACCAAGAGCGTGGAAAGGAGGAAATGTCACACCCAAGATGACTGGAAGAAGGGATGACCACAACAATCCCCAAGTGGATTTTTCCATGGGAAAAAACGGTGTAGTCTCGAGAAAGAAGCAAGATTGCAGGAGAGGCAGGAGCAGGAAAACAGGGGATTCATACTGGAAATGAGACAAACTTGGTTTGGAAGATGATGGAGAAAGGAAGACAGTGGGATGGATCCACGCCTGAAACAAGAGATTGTTGCCTCAATATCAAGTTTTCCATGAACCTGGGCCCTGCACCACACCTGGGTGTTGTGGGGCTGGGCAGGGGCAGAGGGAAACGGCATCGATGAGAATAACTTTGCTGGAAACAAAGAAACACCAATGGAACAAGAGAGAAAATGCTGCAGAGAAGCACATGGAGCTAGGGAGGCAGCACTCAAAGAATTACAGAACAGTTTGGGTAAGAAGGGACCTTAAAGACCATCTGATTCCACTCCTCTGCCATGGGCAGGGCCACCTTCTACTAGCCCAGGCTGCTCCAAGCCCCATCCAACCTGGTCTTGGACACTTCCAGGGATGGAGTTGGCAAGGACCTGGTGCTTGCCATGTAATTCTAAATCCAGAGGCAGGATGGGAAATGGCTGCTACAGCTCCAGTG